CACTGAAGAATGTCCTGTAAAGTGTGTATCATACGTCTATCAAGGTTTGTATGACACTGAAGAATGTCCTGTAAAGTGTGTATCACACGTCTATCAAGGTTTGTATGACACTGAAGAATGTACTGTAGAGTGTGTATCATACGTCTATCAAGGTTTGTCTGACACTGAAGAATGTCCTATAAAGTGTGTATCATACGTCTATCAAGGTTTGTATGACACTGAAGAATGTCCTGAAATGTGTGTATCACACGTCTATCTAGGCTTGTATGACACTAAAGAATGTCCTGTAAAGTGTGTATCACATTCGAAGCTGTAGCTGCTATTCATTGCACTTCGAATTTCTCGGTAAATGTAAAAATGTAAAAAACATTTTCAGCATATAATGCAAGACGCTGGAATAATTTTGGGAAAAGAGAGAAAGTAAGCACATTAAATGACCTTATTTTCACATATCTACCAGAACTGAGCGAATTTTCAGTCTAAGAAATCAGATAATTTTAGAAACCAAACTTATTTGCGTTATATTTTAAAATAGGGTGTTTGACAAGATGTCGGCCAAAGTTTTACAGTCTAACATCCATGAAAAGAAAACATTTGTTCACAAAGGTTTTCTGTTTCATGGCAAAAAAAAAATCATAATTGTATATAAAATATTCCTTGACATTTAATTGCAGGAATGATTTTAAATTATAAAATTAATTTATAAGGACACTAAAATACATCTTGATTCAAGAGATGTGAATTATATGCTGAATTTCATTTATACTGGTTTTGTAGATACTTTACTATAACACTAATACAAATAGTCCAGTCTTTCAAAAGATACTTTTTCAGCATATGTGCTTCTTTTGTTTGTTTATAAAGGCAAGTCTGTACAATGTGCTATCTGCCTTATGCCCACTGCGGGAATCAAACCCCAGATTTCGGTTATAAGCCCTCAAGCTTATCGTTGAGCCAACGGAGGAAGTTTATTTACTCAAAATATAAGTTTACATTCGATATTTTGAGATATCTAAGCGTAGATTTCTGAATTTCGAATTTTAAGATAGTATTCTGTTTTAATGAACATTGAAAGCCTTTTAAGCTTGCATAACTACAAGGTGATAAATAATTATATATTACGCGTTTGTCTTCATTATAAATACCTGATGGATAGGTTGTACACATATTATATTTTATTTTATTAAGTTCTGTAACAAATAGAAGGTCGGTTGTGGCCTAGTGGTTAGCGTGCTCGGACTGTGGATGTGAGGGTACATGTTTTGTGTCCAGTTGCCGCAAAAATTAATCTCGCTCCTCAGTTTGGAGCCATGGTTACGTTATAAAAATATTCGATTAGAGTAGCCCAAGAGTTGGCGGTGGGTGCTGTTGACTAGTTTGCTTTCCGTTTGGTCTTTGAGTTCAAAACTAGGGACGGCTAGCACAGATTACTCATGTGTAGCTTTACACGAATATTCAAAACAATAAAATAATTTTGTTACAAATTTTCTTTTATTTATTTTCTAAAGTTGTATAAATTTGATAAGATAAAGCTTAACTTTTTAAGCATTACTCTTACTGAACAATGCTGTATATCTACGAAAATTATTATTTTTTTCCCTTTATATAGAAAGAAAGTATGAGAACTCATAATGCTAAAAATCGGGTTTCGATATCGGCGGTGGGGAAATCACAAATAGCCCATTGTATAGCTTTGTGCTTAACAATAAAAAAAAAGCTAATATATATATAAGAGAAAAATAAATATTTACGATTGAAACTATGTTGTTTATGGTCTTGCGATAGATAAATAAAAAGGTCACTGTAAATGAAAAAAACTGGAGTTTTATGGTAAATAAACGGACTCAAAATAATTAAACTTATTTCTCTAAACGTAAACACGTATTTTAAGATACATTAAGATAAAAACCGAATTATGTAAAAGTAATTACGTATTTTTGGTGCACTTAGGCGATTATTTTATTGCTAATAATGTATATTGTAAACAATGTACAGTGTTATTGTAGCTTGTACACGTGAATATTGTGATGATTAATAGTTGTAAACGCATACATGTATATTAGCAAATATCTTATCTTAGCAAGCTAAAGATAAAACTGGAATGTACGGTACTCTTATTTGGAGAAAACTTTTCAATGAACCTTTAACGGACGTGAAAGTATTTTACTTTAAATGAAACATTTAATCACAACCCTGTTGAATTTTCTTTATATGCCACAGAGCATTATTCACTGGGTAACTGATTAGTAAGCATTTTATAACCCTAACCAAATATTACAATCAATTATAATTTATGTTTCATTTATTAGACAAATAGCATTCGTACCGTATCTGAACACAATAGTCTTAACATGTTTGGATATGTATAAGACAGAACAAACACGTTCGTGTTGGATACTGAAGAAAACACCTACCTTGAGCCATTATAGCTAGATATAATCCCTTTAGGCTATATTCCATTCTTTGAATTCTTCTATTGTTTCAGGTTTTGGAATTTTAATCACGAGATTAACTGATTTCACGAAAGAACTTCCATGTCTTCGTAAGGCTCACGTTCAGGATTGTCAGTGATGGCATGAAAGAGGTGCTTCTATACGAAGTACCGCTGTGACTAGCGTAATAAACACACCCTTCTTTATCAGTGTCAACTAAAATAAGTTTCCGAACAAACTTAACGACTTTTATTTTCAAAGCAGGTTTTAAGTACAAAAGAATTTTTTTCCCAAAAAAGTACAAGAAAATTAATCAGTACTGAATGTAAAAGGACGAAACGAGAAACGATACTGGTATCAAGTCTATATATTTGGACAGAGGAAGAATAAATTTTGATAAAGATTAATATTAATATAATAACTGTCAACCTCAATTCTCTTGTTCTCTCTCCTTCGTTCGAAATATAGTTTTGTTTGTACATATCTGATAATTTTTCGTTTCACTATTCAATGAAACACGGAGAATTCTACTTTTTTGGATTTTATTTTACAGGTATGTCATGTTGATAGAATAATTTCCCAATATTTTTCACTGTGAATTCATCCACAATATACATTTTCGTAAAAATAAAGTTTTCTATTTTCTCGATTAATGTGTAAAGACCTCAATTATCAACGTGGACTGTCAATCTTTGGATCGAGGGTTCGAATCCCGTCATAGAACATGCTTGCCCTTTCAGCCGTGTGTTTGTGGAGGGATATATAATGTGACGGTGACTCCCAGTTTTCGTTGGTAAAGAATAGCCCAAAAGTTGGCGGTATATGGTGTTGACCAGCACCTTCTCTCTCTAGTCTATCACTTCAAAATTAGGGACTGCTAGCGCACATAGCCCTCGAGTAGCAAACAAACAAACTTTATCAAAGCTTTATTCTAGACGTTTATTTCAATATCTTGTGACTACAAATTATTAGTTAAGTTGAAATAAAGCATCTTACGTAACAGTGACGTTTTACGAAATTATGAAATTTAAAACAACAGCTATCAAATGTTTGTTATATCAACACCAAACTGATTCGGTGAAATACAACACAACTTGAATAGGACACAAGTCTGGTGTTTAACGGTTACAAATTCTAGTAAAATACAAAACAACTGGAATAGAACACAAGTCTGGTGTTTTAATGGTTACAAGTTCAAGTAAATACAACACAACTTGAATATGACAAGTTTTGTAGTTTATCGGTTACAAGTTCTAGTAAAATACAACACAACTGGAATAGAACACAAGTCTGGTTTTTTAACGGTTACAAGCTCAAGTAAATACAACACAACTTGAATAGGACACAATTATTGTGTTTTAACGGTTACAAGTTTAAGTAAATACAACACAACTTAAATAGGACATTAGTCTTGTGTTTTAACGGTTACAAGTTATAGCAAAATACAACACAAGACGAATAGAAAACAATTCTAGTGTTTTAATGGTTACAAGTTTAAGTAAAATACAACACAACATCAATAGAACACAAGTATGGTGTTTTAATGGTTACATGTTCAAGGAAAACATAACACAGTTTGGGGTAATTAACCGAACACGTATGTGATCCTATACAATCTATATACACTTAATAAAATTAAGATTTCACAACACAACATTTTATCTAAATAACCATACACCATTTATGTGTTTCTGTCGCCACAACAACCGTGTTATTTCATTCAAATTCACGTTTTTTGTAACATAACAAACTATTTGTATTAGTTTACAACAAAACTTTTTATATTGTATAAATTTAAACTTCGCTATTTTAGAAACTGATCGAATTACAGTTCGATATTTCAGGAGATATAACTGAGAAAATGGGCTTATTGTCTTATTCGAAGCTTGAACCATGATTAGAACTATGATTTCGAAATTGTTATTTTTTACAATTTGGATCTCATTTATATTTATATTTTTACAAATGATGAAATTTGTACGAAACAATTTCTTGAATTTACTTTAGTAGCGTTACAAGGAGAAACAATTACTTCAGAAGTACGATGCAGAATATTTCTTAAAAATAGTTCATAAATTAGTCTAATTTATATAAAAGTGTAGAATAACTTAATACTACACAGTCTTTCTTAATGATTTAAACCTCGTACGTAAGAGTTTATGATTAATTTATATACAATTGGCTTTCTTATGTTATAAATATTATAAATATGTGCTCTAAAAGAAAAACAACAGCAACACATTAGCAACGTAAACTCATTTACTTTTGAAATAATACAAATCTTGTAAAAATATATTGGAAATTCAAACTGGAAATACGTTTTTGAAATATCTGGTATGTTCATAGAACTTCACATCCTGCACCAAAACATTAAAAACATCAAAATGATAATTAACACAAATTGATAATCTAGTATTATTTGTTGTTGTTGTTGTTTTTATTTTAACCAGATGGGTTGACTCTTCTAATTATTTTATTTATTCCGCACAATCAGTACCTACATCTTTCTTCGGATGATAGCTTCATAAAATGTATCTTTTGTCTCCATACGGATGTTGTGGAAAGTTTGCCTACGTGCCATGTTAGTCGTTATTCATTGTGGAAATAAAATATATTTCTTTCGTAGTCTCGTGAGAAACTGTATATCTGTAGAAAGACAGATAAATTATTACATAAAGCCGCATCCTTATACTTCAGTTTTATAAAAAAAAAACAGTTTATTACATAAATCGCATCCTTTTACTTCCATTTTTATAAAAACAAACAGAGTATTACATAAAACCGCATCCTTTTACTTCCGTTTTTATAAAAAACAAATAGTTTATTACATAAAACCTCATCTTTTTACTTCCATTTTTATAAAAACAAACAGTTTATTACATAAAACCTCATCCTTCTACTTCTGTTTTTATCCAAACAAACAGAGTATTACATAAAACCGCATCCTTTTACTTCCGTTTTTGTAAAAAACAAACAGTTTATTACATAGATCGCATCCTTTTACTTCCATTTTTATGAAAACAAACAGTTTATCACATAAAACCGCATCCTTCTACTTCTGTTACACGCAGAATTATATAATTTTATAACTTTATTGGATAAATTCACAGAGTGTACTGTAATTTTCTAATAAATTATATACGAGATTAAATTATAAGCCCGTCTTTACACACTGATCCTCTATAGTAAATGAGAAAATTTTCAAAGAACTGTGAGAGTGTTTTACCTTTGGGTCTTAATACAGTAGTATGGATCATATTGTATGGTTTAAAACTTTAAACGACCAAAACTACCCGAGTTTTAATAAACTATGTCATGTGATGTCTTTATGTTGCTTGGAACTAGGAATCTTACATTGCTAGATAAGTATATTTTTTAAAGAATTTGAATTAAATAGGAGGAAAAAACACATAATGTTCATTTATAGCTCTAATTATCAGAGTTGTGATCCAGATAATCTTGAAGAAAATCATGATTAGCAACCCCACGGCATTTCTAATTAATTACTCCGACCTATAACTATTGTTAGACACTATAAAAAAGTTGGTGTTCGTGGTTCAGTCTTCTTGCTGTGTTTAAAGTAGAAAAATCACGTACTCTTTAATCATTTGTTCTTTTCCGTCAGGAGGACGCCGACTGGACATCTGTTCAAACTGCTTCTTGGAAATGTATCTTGGACAACTATAAACTGAGAATAGAATAACACTATACAGCCAATACCAAAAGTACAGCCCGATTTACTAAAGAGGTCAGAATGTTATAAAACCATTCGCTGATTCTTTTATCAACCTAGTCTGCTATTGGTCAGACTGATCTCCTCAAACAATTGGAATGAAAAGTTCTTGGTAAGATTTTCTTTGACAAAATAAATCTTGAGAAGTGGGTTTGGCGTTTTATGGGAAGATTTTATTGTTTTATGGTAATGTTAAAAGAATACAGTTAAGGAATTTGAAGCTAAATAACAGTACAGATAAGAACAACGAGCCTCTAAGACTTATATAATATTACCATGTGAATACCTAGTTTTTGTTACTCTTGATGAGTTGAAGTGAGTTTTAAGATCACTTTAGGAGCTTTATTTCATACAAAAAACCCGAAGGGTAACTAACTGATATAAAAATAGGATAACAGCAAAACTGTAAAATAGCGCGACATCTATAGGAACTAGATATTGATATAAAATAGTTATAAATTTGTAATAATAATAATAATAGATTTTGTGATGTTCATGAATTTTCACCAATCTTGCGAGAAGTGTTTTTGAAAGTAAACAATTTTGCATAATCTGGTTACATTTGGAGCATGTTTTCAATAACCGGGAATATAAGGCATAACTTTATTCGAATTCATACATTGAATCTGTGAAGTACCTTATCAATATTATTGATATAGGACTTTGTTTAAAACTGTATACATGAAACAAGGTGTTTTAAATACGGGTTTTTCTCACACAATTATTCTCACAAATGTCTTTAGACATATTTTATTAATGGAAGAAAATCAACAAACAAATTCAAAGTAATTAATTTTTGTCTTTTTAATTTTTCCTTATTTTAGATAGTTGATAATGGTTAGTTTGAATATACATATATTTATATGAAATAAAGATGAAAGATTTGTCTTGAACAAAGGTATAATTGACAGCAACTGTCGAGTTCAAATTGACACTTGTAGAGAAAGTCTTAGAAGAATAATCTACAAAAGTAAAAAATATAATCGCAAGAAACTTCTTGAAATTTTTGTACGAGATCACCAGGATTTTGTACATTTTTGTATATTTGTTTTGATTCTGCCCAAAAATGTCTGTGAAGTTTGTACATCCGCCTGGAAGTTTTGAACCCTTTGAAGAAGTGTAAACCCATCTTTCGTACAACTGAATGTCCTGTTTACTTAAGGTGTTTTGTACGTCTATAAATTAAGTATTCATTTATTTCTTAGTTTCCGTGTTTCTTCATAAATCACGCGAAGAACTACATTACCCTCAAGATACGATAAAAGTTGAAACCTACCACTGTTTAAAGAAAAATGTTAGACTTAGTTGAAGGACACGTCATGCCAGTTTTGTCGCTGTGTCTAATTCCAGCTACTATGTATGTATATATATAGGCCTGTGTAAGTTTGACGATCATCTGCCTGATTGGACGAGAAGTAATTTTAATGAGTAAATGTGCGTATATGAGTCTTAAAATGCTATGACGTAGATAAGGATGATTAAATTTATTTTATGAACAACATAAAATATAAGACTGTTTGGTTTCAAAGAGAGTAATTTGCTAACTTCAAGCCTGCTGTTCACTAGAGCGAAAACTTCCAGGTTTGGAGCTCCACCTGGAAATGCAAACCTACCATTCAGGTAACTAAATCAACTCATCAAACGGTTTATGACACTATGATATCATACATGGGCAATATGCCAGGACAAAGAGTGGCGAATGTAGCGAGAAGTTCTGAAACCTAGTATAATAAAAAGACTTCACAATAATAAGACAACGTTATTTTGGAAGTGATGGTCTTAGAGCTCTGAAGAAAACAGTTTGTGAGTCAGTTGTGTCAGGTTAGTTGAACAGACTCTTTTCACTCAGGTAAGATGTTTGATCTGACTTAAATTGTGTTCGAATGAAAATATAGTATTCCTTGCAGATTAATAAAACAAGGTATATTTGCATTAAACTAATGCTTTGTGTTTATTTAAGTTTTATGTATTCGTGTATTCGGATGCTTCTGAATTGTGTACACAGTTCTGTTAAAATCACTTTTACAACCGAAACGCCAATCGTTTTAATAAAGGCTCTGGATTAGGATAAGTAATTACGTAATAACAATATTTTTGTATATTTTTTAACAAGTATATGTATTCAAATTCGGTGACGAGGAA